CCGGGACGCGGCGCTGGCGGCCGTGCGGCGCCAGGCTGCGCGCTGGGAGCTACCGCTCACCATCGTGGCCTACGCGGACCTCTTCGGGGGCTGGACGATGGACGCCGTGGCCCGCAGCACGGCCGGCTCTGGCCGCAGCCGCTCCTGCTGCACCTTCTGCGGGGTGCTGCGACGCCGAGCGCTGGAGGAAGGGGCACGCCTTGTGGGAGCCACGCACATTGTGACGGGTGAGCACAGGCGCCGCAACAGGAGTGGCCGGTGGGAGGAACCGAGGCCCGTGTGTCGGCGAGGGGTGGGCCCTGAAAGGGGACTGAGGCACATGCCCAGGATGTGGTAAAGACGACCACAGGCGTGACCTAAGGGGAGGGTCCAAGTAAAGAAACAGGGAGATGCGCATGCGCTAGTGTGGGGCCTGCACTTAGTGAAGGTTCCCACGCTTGAGAGAGGACGGGGCCAGGCAGAGCCTGACAAAGGCCTGGGTCTTGGCCACCGTCTTGGTCTACATAGATTGACAAAGGGCTGAGGGGTAAGATAAAGTTAGTCTATGGGGATTCGATCTTTAGTTCTTTATTTATTTTTAATTGTTTCTAACATTCTTAGATTCTCATGGTTCAGCTTTCATAATCCATCTCTGTCTCCGGAAAGTATCTGCACCGCTTAACTTCTTTTCTTTGTTGTCCTCTCCTCTCTGCTGTAACTCTTCTGTACTGTCACTCATGCATTCCTTCAACAAACAGCGGCTGATTTTATACTGCACGCTAGGATCAAACTGTGACCATAGCAGACTTTTAACCTCTCTGCACTTCTACTTTCTCATCCCTAAAGTAGTAATATTAATAGTACCTAGTGCGTGGACTTATGACAGATTAGATTAGATAGTAGGAGTAAAATGTATATATGTGTGTGTGTGTGTGATATTTTACATATAGGAGTAAAGTGTATATATGTAATCTATATTATAATTATATTACATTCAAAATATATAGAATATGTACCATAGAATATATATTACTTTTTTTAACATATGCTATTATCATCATCAGGCAAGGACTGAGAATACGGTTTTGCACAAGTCCCTGCCTTTGCACTGTTCTCAAATATAAAATTATAAATCATAAATGTTACTGAAGAAAATTACATGGATATGTGTGCAAAAAAAGGGCCTTACGACATGGAGGGAGGGGATCGGGGAAGTCTTTCGAGATCTAATGGCTCTAGGTGAAGGGTAAGGGCTTGGGGGGAGGTTGTTCCGGGCAGAGGAAACAGGTCAGTTTGAGATGCCCCGAGAAGTCCAGTGTGGCTGGAGGCCAGAGAACAAGGGGAGATGAGTCTGGAGAGGGGGACAAGTTCAAGCCTTACCCTTTGGGCAGTGGAGGAACCCGCGAAAGTGACATGAAGAGAGTTTCACTTTGAAAAAGCTCACCCTGGCTGTGACGAGGAACCTGGGTTGGAGGGGCAAGGACAGAGCCAAGGAGACCATTTAGGAGGGAGACAGCTGTGGTCGTCTAGGTGAGAGATGATGGTTGTAGGAAACAGGAAGGAGAGAATCAACATATTTGAGAGGTATGAAGGCAAAAATACCTTTGGCTCTCTCTCTTCTTTCACCATGCTAGGGCATAGCCTCTGGGGAAGGCAGCCTGAGCTCCCTTCACTGGTGCGGCCCTTCCCTTATTGTGTAACCTTGGACAGATCCCTGGATCTCTCTGAGCTTCAGCTTTCTCTGGTGGAAAATGGGGAGAATAATCCTTTCCACACGAAAGCAGTCTGTATGGAACAATGAGACATTGCCTTGGGTTTTAAAATTAATTTGTTAGAATCACTTATTAATTGTACTTGTAAAAATAATGAAGGCTTCCAGGAAAATCCCTCACTTGTAAGGTGGTTTTTACCCTTTGTTTATGCACTCTATTTTCAAAGGCATATTGTAATAATTATGGTAATGATTATTACAGAATCAGGAAGCTCTTAAGTGGGTTTGTAATGACAAGGTGTGGAACAAATCCAGTCTCCTGTGATTAATGGGTTTACAACTTCAACTCAACAGACAAAACTATTGGACAATAAACATTTAACCAGATGTAGTTTCCAGTAGCAAACATCCCTGGTCTCAAGGTCACAGGCCTTGGCCGGTCACTGGAAGGTAACTATTACTACAAACAAAATTAAAGCAAAGTTTTTGGTGGGTTTTACCATATAGACCAGGGTTTCTCAACATCAGCAGTACTGATATTTGAAGCCAGCTAATTTTTTGTTGTTTGGGGGCTGTCCTGGGCATTGTAGGATTTTAGCAGCATCCCTGGCCTCTACCCACTAGATGCTACCAGCACCCCCCATGCCCCCGTGCCCCCACACCCATACATTGCCAAGTGCCTCTGGAGGGTGGGAGGGCAAAATCAACCCTGCTGAGAACTACTGGTAGAGACTCAAGTAGAACTTGACAAGATACAGAATACATATAGATTTAGCTTCACTTTTATAGTGACTGGTGTGTAAATACTTCTCCCTGTTCTTTCTAAGCAAAGATAACACAAAAACACTGCAGTCTGTGTTGTCAGATGCACTGTGTCAAGAACTATTAGTTTTCTATGGCTGCTGTAACAAATTACTACAAATTTCATGACATGAAACAACACAAATTTATTGTCTTGCAGTTCTGGAGGTTAGAAGTCTGGCAAGGTTCTCACAAGGGAGAATCCATTGCCTTGGCTCTTCTAGCTTCTAGAAGCCTCTTGCATTCCCCGGCTGGTGGCCCCTCCCTCCATCTTCAAAGCCAGCAATGGCAGGTCGAATCCTTCTGCAGTTTACATCACTCTGAGCTTGTTTCTGTCCTCACATCTCCGTTTCTGACTCTTCTGCTTTGTGATTACATTGGGCCCACCTGGGTAATCCAGTCTGCTCTCCCTATTTTAAAGTCAGCTGATTGGCAACCCTAACTCAACATGTAACCTTAATTCCCCTTTGCCATGTAACCAAATATATTCACAGGTTCATGGGATTAGGACATGGACACCCTGGGGAATTGGGGAGAGTAGCCTTCCTACCCCACCAGCTCGCTCGAGAATCTCCATGGAATGCCATTTTGCCTTTTGTGTAGTTTGGATTAGTTTTACTGAGGTTGATCAGGTATTTGCAGCATAAAGCATTTTTACTCCCTGTGGGAAAGGGTAACTAGCACTAGGTCTGGTATGCAGTAGGTGGGTGGCAAACGACGGTACCCCAAAGTTGCTCCGGGGGAACTTGTGTGTTTCCCTATCGTTTCTTGCTGTACACCCGGGATCTCCTGGTCCTGGCTGCCCCACAGTACGGTACCTGGGGATCTCCATGACCCTAGCACCTCGCTCCCACCTGCTCCCCATCTCTACCTGGGTGTTGGGTGCCCTGGGAAGAAGTGGGGGTCCATGACCAGCAGGCCCCCCGCACCCCACCTCACCTGCTCCCATCTCTCCCGTTCAGGACACAACGCTGACGACATGGCCGAGACTGTGCTCATGAACTTCCTGCGGGGCGACGTGGGGCGGCTGGCCCGGGGCGGGGGCCTGGGCTCCCCGGGCGAGGGGGGCGCCCTGCCGCGCTGCCGCCCGCTGCAGTTCGCCTCGCAGAAGGAAGTGGTGCTGTACGCGCACTTTCGTCGCCTCGACTACTTCTCCGAGGAGTGCGTCTACGCGCCCGAGGCCTTCCGCGTAATAACTTCGTATAGCATACATTATACGAAGTTATACGAATATTTTAAAAGCCAAACTACAGTAACACTTAGCAGCAAAACTCTTACCAAGTCCTGATTCCTGACAGTATGTTCTCTCTCAGATTCTAATGTAATACGAAGACTTTTAGCTCTGTCATCCAGAATTTCATTAGTTTTTTCAAGTGTCTTGATTTTATCCTACAAAAAAGATATTAAGATTAGTAATAATTACTCATTACTTTTACTTTCATTTTCAGAATGTAATCCCAAGAAGGGAATTTTACCTTATATTTAATTGCTTCATCACGAAGAATCATATTTTGTTTCTTGGTTTCTTGAATATATTTCTTTGATTCCTTGATCTATATAAAATAAAGCATTCAGAATTCAAAAATATAAATTATAGTTCTACCAAAACATATTTCCAAATAAGCGACCCCTTACAGAAGGAAGCAGTGCTTTACACATATGACTGCTTAGATCTGAATGGTTGGTAGGAAATAATAAGAAAATATGATTTAACAATAGTATAATAACTAAATTTATAGTAACTATAAAACAGGCAGAAATAATTCAAGCAGGAACAATGGGGAACAAAACTAAAAAAATCATTATACCTTTTGTTCGTAATCTGACAGCTTTTGTACAAGTTCTTGATTTTCTCTTGTGATTGCCCCGGGATCGGGATCGGGCCCGGCCCCCTGCCTCTGAAACTGTCCCCACCTTCTAGTGACTCCGGGTCTCCAGCTGAGATCCCCCAGAGGGGACTGCCTGTAAATAACACTGTGAATTAACACTGTGAATAAACCCGTTACCTTGCCCGGGGCCTTCCATGTGGGATTGGGAGGGCAACGGGGAACCAGTGACGTGGAACTCTGTGGAAGCTGGGGCACCAGATGTGTGGGTCTGGTTCTGAGGCAGGAGGGGACTGGGAGCCTGGAGGCCTGGGTCTGAGAGAGGAGGGGGCCAGGACTGGTTCTGGGGACCCCAGATGGACAGGAGGAGGGGCCTTAGGCTGAGCTGCTGAGTCTCAGGGAAGAGAGGCCTGGGGACCCAGGTGCTGTGTCTGAGGGAGGCGGGGGCCAGGACTAGGTCTGGGCTGGTGACCCCAGACAGCTGGGTCTGGAGGAGGATGGAGCTGGGGACCCCAGACATCTGGGTTTGAGGGAGAAGGGGACTGAGAGCCTGGACTCCTGGGTCTGAGGGCAGAGGGAGCTGAACAACCCTCCATTCCAGAGAGAGAGGGGATTAGGGGGCTGCTTGCTGAGCACCCTTGCTAGGTCTGAGCATGCTCGGGATAGTCCTAACCCTCCTTGATCACCTTGGGCCAGATGCTTCCTGTTTGCTTGCCATGTGATAAGCAAAGGCACATGACTTGACATGCAAAGTCATTCACAGTTACCATCATGATGCTTCCCTTCCAGTGCTTGTGTACAGCAGACACTCACTACACCATCTCATCTCATCCCACCACGACCTCACTGGCTGCCTGAGCCTCAGTAAATGTTGGAAAGGACAAAACTCAGGGCTGGCTCCAGAGCTCTCCAAGATTGTGAAATGCCCCTCCCCCACCCATCCCTGCCTTTATCTCCTGGTGTCTCGTAGGTTAGGAGGGGCTGGGTGGGCACCCCAAACCTTAGGCTCTGGAGGCAGAGCTCGGTGAGCCTGGGTCAGTGACTTAACCTGTCTGATCTTCCATGTCTTCCTCTGAAAATGGAATCAACACCCACTCCTCCCCCATCAAAGCACTATTGGGAGGGAATGGAAGATCAGAGAGGGGAGAGAGGTCAAGGTGCTCAATGAATAGTGTCAGACTTGGTTATTCATATTAAGGTTTGGCCAGCAGAGGGCTTTGGGTTTCAGGGTTGATGCCCCACAGGTACAGGAAGGTGTGAGGCCCTGAAGCTTCCTGGGGAGACTTGGTTTTCTCAGTCCTTACTCCAAGCTTTACCGGATGGGCTCCTAGTCAGGAATGCTTTCCCTTGCCGGTCGTCCTGCTCAAATCCTCCAGGATCCTCCTAGAAGTCTTCCTCATTTCATACCTTTGGTCTCACCCAGCCCAGGGCATAAGATAATCCCAAACCACAGCCTCTTTGTCCTGTCCCCACTGTGTGGCCATCCAAACTCTTCGGGTGTCATTTCTGTTAATTATGCATTCAACAAACGTTCATTGAGCACCCTCTCTGTGTCAGGCACTCCTCTAAGTGCTAGGAATACCACAGGGAACAAAAGACAAAAGTCCCTGCCCTTGGGCCGGCCCGTGGCTCACTCGGTAGAGTGCGGTGCTGATAACACCAAGGCCCCGGGTTCGGATCCCACATGGGATGGCCGGTTCGCTCACTGGCTGAGCGTGGTGCTGACAACACCAAGTCAAGGGTTAAGATCCCCTTACCGGTCATCTTTTAAAAAAAAAAAAAAAGTCCCTGCTCTCATGAAGTTCACAGTCTGGGAGGAAGGGACAATAAGCAAATAAATATATAATGTCAGGAAGATAAATGCTACAAATTTTTTAAAAATAAGGAGACAGAGGAACACGGGAAGAGCTAGTTTTTATAAAAGTCAGGGAAGTGCAAGCCTCTGAGGAGATGGCATTTGAGCAGAGACCCACATAAAGAACAAATCACGAAGCCATCTTGGGGACAAGCTTTCCAGGTGGAGGGAACTGCCAGTGCAAAAGCCTAGAGGTGGAAATAAGCTTGGCAAGTCCCTGAAACAGCAAGGAGTCCAATTTGGCCAGAGCAGAGTAGTCGAGAAGAATAGCAAGAGATGAAATGAGCCAGGGGTGGGTCATGCATAATCTGAGGAGGTGAGAAGGACTTGGATTTTATTCTAAGAGGGGTTAAGCCATTGTAGGGCTTTGGGCAGGGAACGGATCCAATTCCCATTCTCTAGAAATTACTCCACCTGCTGTGAGGAGAATGAACTGTAGAGGGCGCAAAATGATCAAGATGGATTATGCGGGATGAGTTGTGCACCAGGCACTGTGCCAAACACTGCTTCGTGTGCTCGGTGATGTGAGAAATGGATTTTCATGCCCAGTTTTTTTTTTTTTCCAAAAGATGACCGGTAAGGGGATCTTAACCCTTGACTCGGTGTTGTCAGCACCACGCTCGCCCAGTGAGCAAACCGGCCATCCCTATGTGGGATCTGAACCCGTGGCCTTGGTGTTATCAGCACTGCACTCTCCTGAGTGAGCCACAGGGCCGGCCCTTCATGCCCAGTTTTAAGAAGGACTAACCTGGGCCGGCCCGTGGCTCACTCGGGAGAGTGCGGTGCTGATAACACCAAGGCCACGGGTTCGGATCCCACATAGGGATGGCCGGTTTGCTCACTGGGCGAGCGTGGTGCTGACACCACCGAGTCAAGGGTTAAGATCCCCTTACCGGTCATCTTTAAAAAAAAAGAAGGACTAACTTGTGGCCCCAAAAGGTGAAGTAACTTGCCCAAGGTCACACAGCAAATCAGGAAACAAGCTGGGGCTTGACCCTTTTGCTCTGCCACCTGCTGAAGGGGACCTGTGTTCTTGTTGCAGGTGTGCCTCTGATTCACTCTGTGGCTTTGGGCAAGGGACCTTTTCCCTTCTATTTAATAAAATTTCTCCCTCCACATGAGGAGGTGGGCGGTTGGTTAGATTTCTGTTGTGGTTTAAAGCAGCACTATCCAACAGAAATATAATATGAGCCATTTGTGTAATTTTAAATTTTCTAGTAGTCATGTTTTTAAAGGGGAGGAGGAGGACAGGTGAAATCTTAATAATATATTTTGTTTGGCTCACTATCTATAAAATATTATAATTTTAACATGTAATCAATATTTAAAAACTTCAATGAGATATATATTATTTTTCTTTCATACTGCATTTCCGAATGTAAGTGTGAAGTTACACTGGCAGCCCCTCTCAGTCCAGATTCACCGCAGTTCAGTCACCACATGTAACACTTGACTGCCCTACCCGACAGCTCAGGTTTACAGCGTGCATTCTAGAGCCAGGCTGCCTGAGTTCAAAACCAAGTCTGCCCCTCAAGCTGTATGACCTTTGGCAGGTCCCTCATCTGTACAAAGAGGGGAGGAATCGTACTTACACCCTATGGTTATTGTTAGTAAATAGGCATCAGTGCTTCTTAAAAGAGCTCCTGGTGGTTAGTGAGCACTCCTAGGAGCTTGCTTTTAGACTGTTTCCTGCCTTCCTCCTGGGGACTTCTGAAGAGCCGGGGAAGGTGCTGTTCTCAGTCATGGACACAAGGTGTCACTGTGACCACACCTGTGCATCGAGTGGCCATTGACAGCAAATCCAGGTCTCCTTCCTCTGCCCAGAAAGGGCGCTCAGCCAGTTCCCATTCCCTCAGGTCTCTGAGCAAGTCCTCAAGGGCGAAGAGACACAAGCTGGCAGAGACCTTAAGATCCCATATAAACATAGGAAATCTTTTTTGATCTCAAGACCCCTGTGTTCATTCATTTAACAAATATTTACTGAGCACTTAATTTGTGACAGCAGAGAACAAAAAAAATCTTCCCCCGCGGGAGGAAAATAACAAGAATAAGTAGCACAGCATATATAGTATGTCGGCTGGTGATAAATAGGAGGATGGGGAGCATGTCACATAGAAGTGGTGGATAGAGGAGGCCTGAAGGAGAAGGTGGTATTCAAGCAAAGACCTGTACGAGGCGAGGCAGAGAGCTCTGCAGATCGGCGGAAAGAGAGCTCCTCAAGGGACAGTTACTGAAAACTCTCTGAGGTTGGAGGAAAGGCTGGAGTGGAGTGATGGAGGCACGAGTGGAGGAGAGAGGTAAGAGGCACATGGCTCAGCTTTGGTTTTGAGTGAGGTGGGAGCCAGGGAGGTTTTTGAGCAGAGGAGTGATAATGATCATCCCTTTGTTCACACAGCAAACATGTTCTGACACCTCCTAGGAGCCAGGCCCTGCACAGGGTGGTGGGTAACAGAGCTGAGGCAGCTCCAGTCCCGGGCCTCAATGGGCTCTCTGTCTGGTGGGGGAGGAGGGCACAGACACTGGCAAGTCAAGACCCAGAGGTATATGTGCCGCCATGGGGTTAGGAAGGACATAGGGGAGCCAGAGCTGGGGCATCTAACTCATCATGGAATGCTTCCTGAAGGAGGTAGTGTTTAAACCAAGACCCAGGAGACGAGTAAGAATGAGCACAGGAAAATGTGAGACAAGGGCAAATGTAGCAGGCAGAAAAAGAGCAGGCACAAAGGCCTGCAGGCACAGGGGCACTGGGTGCCTGCAAGAAATTGCTACTCCTTATGCAGGAAGGGGGCAGGGGAGGCAGTCCCCCCCTGGTCAGAATGCTGCAGTAAATGGACATTCACTGGGGGTGACGGGGATTTAGGAAGGGTTTGGAGCAGATAGGGCTAGCTCTGAGTACCAGAAAGATCCCTCTGGGATCATGTCTGGGGAAGACTGGAGAGGAGGAACCTAAAGTTCAGGGAAGACTGAAGCGGGGCAAACTTATAAGCCAGAAGGCCAGAGAGAAGGCTGGGGCAAAGGTCCAGGAATGGATCTGGTAGCCAAAATGGAGACAGTGGCAAGGGCACTGGAATGGTGGGAACAAATATGAGGGCTGTTTAAGAAGCGCTTACCAGGAGCTGGAAATCCCACTCGACACCAAGGGTATGTTTCATGAGCATTAAGAGCTCCTACATGGGGCCAGCCGGTGGCGCACTGGATAAGTGTGCCGCTTGGGAAGCGTGGCGGCGCTCCTGCCCGAGGGT